CCTCGCTCTTCTAGCGGGTCAAACTTCACGAGTTGTTTTCCGCCATTTTGGTCATAAAAACACAACGAATTGGGAGAGGTGCAGCGGAGCGTCTGTGGAGGGGGCGGGGACGTCTGGAGCCGAGGTATTGCATTGCACTCATTGCACTGATTTTGTGCAGTATTTTTTGATGCAAAGCCTTTTAGAATCTATAACGCAGGGGCATTATTATTTTTCAGTTAATGAGGTTTTAATAGGAATAGGTGGAGTACAAGTTTTCTACTTCTGTTATTTGCTGTTGTTTCTCAAAAAAACGGATAATGATATTACAGCTTTCATTGATTTATTTCAAATTTGAAACATTGTCTTGCCTGAGGTAAAAAAGGTAAAAAAAAAAAAAAAAAACAAACAATTAATCAAATCGTAACGTGGTGTATTCTTGAGTATTGAAAATAATGAAATTGTTGGGTCAGAAAATCGATACTGAATTAAATCGCCATGATGGATGTGATTTACACCCCTAGTAAGTATTCTAGAAACTTTGCAGATGACAATAATATGAAGGAAAACTAATTTTGGACCCAATACTGACCCCTAGGGGACACCACAAACAATGTCCAAGCACAATGACTGGCAGTCATCCATTTGCACAAATTGTTGCCTGTTGCTTAGATAGCTTTTCATCCAGGGCAGTAGTACTCCCTGGATGTCATAACACTCCAATTTCTTAATTAATATTTTGTGATTTATTGTGTCAAAAGCTTTTTTTAGATCAACAAATACACCAACTACAGATTTCTTATTATATAAGGCGCTGGTGACTTCTTCTATCAATTCAATGACTGATTGCTGTAGATCTTTGTGATCTAAATCCATAGTGACTTTCAAAAAGCAGTTAATGTTTATTAATGCATCTATCTAATCTATCCACAAATAATTTCTCCAAAATTTTGGAAAACTGTTAAAGTAGAGAAAAAGGCCTATAATTTGTGAAATGGTGTATGTCACTGGATTTATAAATTGGAATAACTTACCTTCTTGATTACTGTCACGTCAATGCCATCACAGTAAGTTGACCTCTTGTTATTACATTTATTGACAATATCTTTCATTTCCCTTTCTCTCACAGCAGTGAGAAACATTGAATAAAGATTTCTACTGATTAATGTTTCATTCAGAGCTCCAGTTGTTGTAGGATGCGGGATTTTTTCTACCAGTTTGGGTCCCACACTCACTAAATATTTATTGAATTTATGTACAACATCATTCATTTCCTTAAAATTATCATCGTTATTTACAAAAAACTGCAGAATTTAATTTTCCCGAGCTTTTCTAGATAAAATTAATCAATACATTCCAAATTCCTTTGATATTTTTCTTATTTCTATCTAATCATTTACTGTAATAATCCCGTTTTGCTGTTCATATTATAACAGTTAATTTATTTTTATATTATATTTGTTCTCTTTCTCCAAAGACCTATGCCTTAATAAATCTCTATATAATTTATTCATTTTTTTTTTTTACAGGCATTTTGTAAACCATTTGTGATCTATGGAGCTTCTGAGTATTTGTTTTTATGAGAGAATATTATTAATGGACAGTTTTTATTGTATAATACTCAGATATTCAGAAAAATTATCATATGCTATATCGACATTATGTTCTTGCAAAACAGACTCCCAGTTATGTTTCAATGAATCCTTTTTGAAAGATTGGAGAGATTCCTCTGTTCTTACTCCTCTAAATTGTGGATTACTTTTATCCTTATTTTTTATATAGAAATTGTTGCTAACAACAAAGACTGGAAAATGATCACTAATATGCTGAACCATTAATCCACTTAACTTATTGTTGTCTAAGATAGCAGTAAATATCTTATCTACATGTGGCATTGTTAAGTGGGATTCTGCTGGGTCTAGTGATTTTGGGAAATACGCTCTAACTGTACGTGGTATTAATGAACTCTTCAGTTTATTTAATAATATGCTGAATTTGAAAAGGAAGCACATAATTATATTGGAACAATTTATTGAGTCCGCTGTATTTAACTATCATATCATTCATATTATATAATGCAGGAACATATTAGGTTACTGAATAATAAAGATGAATGAAATATGTGTAACACTTCAGACTTCTTTACTTTCATTAAATTACAGCATATGTCGCTATGACATACCGTCAGACTATTTACCAATGAGGTGAGTGCTGGGAGACATTTTGTGCTGTTAAAAGCGTTTTTAAACGGTGCTTTGATTTATCTCAGAGGAATGCTAACGTACGGCTTTATGTGAGAGATGCTCTAAAACTTGAGAGTTAACTAAGCTAACAGGTGTTGTTAGTTCTGACCCTTATCTGATTAAATGTATTTAATCTAGAGCAGGCATCCCCAAACTCGGTCCTCGAGGCCCACTGTCCTGCAGGTTTTAGAGGTTTCCCTGCTTTAAAACAGCTGATTATAATGATTGCAGTAGAGCAAAAGCCTGTTAATTAGCTTTCAATTAAAATCAGCTGTGCTGGAGCAAGGAAACCTCTAAAACATGCAGGACAGGGGGCCTCCAGGACCGAGTTTGGGGATGCCTGATCTAGAGGGTGAATGTTTCCTGGTCTCCAGGACTTCTCAGTCTGCTGATACTGGTTGATTTAGCTACAGTGCAGTGCCGCCAGTGGCCTCCAGGGGCGCTAAACCTGGTAGTTACAGGTCTAGCGCTCCCAGATGGCCAAACATTACGCAGTGCTGCTTTTAACAGGTGCAGCCAGTGATGGAATCAATGGTGTGGTTTTTACCTCTTTGGTTGTAGGACTCCACGTTTGTTTGTCTGTCCTGTTCATTACGTGGTTTCAAGCCTTCAAAGGTTAAAGGTTTTATCCTGAACCTTCCTCTGACATCAGCGCGGTACTTTGGTTCTCAGCACTGCCTCTCACTGAGTTTTCTCTCTGAGCAGGCTCTGAAGGCCCTCTCTGACTTTTCACTACATGCCTGAATGGTGAGACGCTGCAATGAGATTTGCTACTAGCATTAATGAAACACTGAACAGGTGAACTCAATAAACTGTCTAGTGAGTGTTCACAGAATGTGTGAATGCTGTACAGTGAACAGATTTTGAATTCAATGGATCCATGCTGTGCTCATTTAAAGTGATGTTTCTAATTATTTGGATCTTTTAATTCGGTTCTTTAATTCCAGAGGGAAAGTTTCTCACAGAGTGTAGAAAGGAAAGAACCCTCTCGTTGTATTAACAGTTACATTTAACGTTGTTATTTCCAAACAGATGTCCAGAAAGTACACAGATCATCATAGGTCATCACAGGTCACCAGGACAGAAGTCCTCTTCCAGCTAACAGAGGAAACAGTATTTTCTATGTCTGTCTGTAACATAATCATCATTTCATCCTGTGTGAAGGAAACAGCCAGTGTGTGGAGTCCCTTCTGTCTCATGGAGCAGATCCAGACTACCAGCTCCCCCACCTGGGCTCTCCTCTCTATGTCAGCTGTCTGCACCGACGCACCGCCTGCTCCAAGATGTTGTTGGACAGCGGTGTGTAAGCCCTTTCTATCCATCCTCATAAACAGCTACATATACTCTCCCACTTCCTCTAAGCTGTGTTTGGGAGATAGTTTAATTTGAATAACATATGTGGCATTTAACTGAAACTATCTTATTTTAAATTCCCCTTTTGGATTAATAAAGTATTTTAGATTTGAATTCAGTCTTCTGTGCAGGCTACAGTTATCATAGCAAACCAGTTTTCCTGCATGATGTTGGTCCTTTAAAAGACTTCACTTCATACAAACAGCATCAGAATCAGGCTCAGCAACATGATAGCCAATAACTAACTTTGGGTATTCTTCACTCAGTAACAGCTTTCACATTAAAGAGTGCTGCTATATTGAATAAGGCTGATTATGGGTCAGAACCAAACTGATAACTGTCTGGTTTTGTTCACCATCTCCTGTCTTGGTACATCTGTACAAAAAATAAATAAACAAAAATCTCTAGATTTCTTAGTTCAGGAACCATCATGTCACACTGTTAGAATTTAAGAGCCTAAAAACAGACTAATCCTCTTCTTAACTTAAACAATGTCATCAGT